AGGCGGGGGTCCCCCCCCCCCCCCCCCCCCCACACACACACACCCGCAATGTGAGACAGGTAAAGACAAATTTAACGAAGACTCGGGATTCGTGTTGGATTGGACACGCTGGAAACAATGAACTGATATCTTCTAGTCTTGATATCTTCATCCTGGGACACTTGTTGGCACCTGCATCTTCGCCCAAGGTCGCACCTTTTTCCGATTCCATTTTCTAGTTTGGAAAAGTTTGAAATCGGGTTCCGAGGGTAAACTTCTATCGTCTATTCGGTCTCAAAAGACACTTCGATGCGACAGATCGAGGGGGGAGCCTCGATCATTGATGCTCCTTACCTGAGACACAGTGAATAGAGGGATTTACCTCGAAAACCGGGGTTCCCGACTTTCTTTCGTTCGATCGGGTGAAGGGAAATCCTGATGGATCTCTCTCGGCTGACTGAAAGGTGCTGTCTATCTGACTACACTGAAGCGTGTCATAAACCTTCAGCTCCCGATGACCTGCCTGAGGCCAGATATATACTTATAGATATCTGTTTGACTCCTTGCCTCTCACCGCCTCATCGATCAAACCTTTTGTCCTCAACCAAGTGTGTATTTTGCTGCCGAATAGACTTATACCTTCGGAATCCTCTCTTCTCGGTCCTCTCGGGTCCTGTCCATCGCAGTAACGTCAATCTGCAGGAGGGGGAAGGGGTGCGTCCTCCGATCCCCCGTCAGTCCGGTCGGAGATCTCGGTTGCATGCGGAGGGAGAAGCGTCGAGACTCCCGTTCGAGCTCGGAGTCTCCGCCGTTTCCATCTTCAGGTGACATCGGAGTGCCGTGTGCTCGAAAAGGTGGAGGGACCGGATGGATCAGTGGGACCAGATGAGCCGGTCCTGAAAAGAGTCCACAACCCTCCGCAACTTCAGTTCTCGGGAACCTTCTGGAATTTCCAATCCGAATTGCTCTTCGGCTCTGTCGACAGCATTGTTAGAACTCAAAAAAAAGAACTTAGATCCGGAGGAAAAGTACTCTAAAAGAATTGTTAGTACATGCGTCAGTACGAGTACCATTCCGATGCATTCCTACGGCAGTATGAAGTTCTACTCCACGTCCATTTCAGAGTTTCACCGAGCCGCAACTAGATGTCGCTAGTGTTGCACAGATCGAGACTGCGTCTCCGGGTTTTTCGTCCCTCAGATCTCTTTCTGAATACGTTTGAATTTGATTTATGTGCCTGATTTTCGTGCCGCAATGAGGTGCAGGAAACCGGAAATACGAAATTCTCTCCTCCGCTCTCGGAGGAGAGAATTTCGTCTCTCCGGTTTCCATTCGTGTCGCACACGAAGGAGGTTTTGGTCATCACAATCGGTGTACTCAACGGATTTTATCGGCTGCTGGGATGGGACACACACTCACGCGCACACGTGCACACGCGCACTCAAGCTTCCACTGCATCTATAATCGGTACGAAAGGGACGGGGTTTATGCCTTTTGAAAAAAAAAAAGCATGTCAAGGTCTGATTCTGGTTCATATTTTTTAGATATATTCAATATGTTTATCGATTTCTTTACCCATTCCATGACTGAGTGCTGTCAGGAGCTGCCCTCACGGCCCCTCGCGGCCCTTCGCGGCCTCTCGCCCCAAAGGGCGAAAGAGCTCTTCATATGCATTCATGATTTGCATTCTTACTACAGAAACTCTAATAATAAAAAATTTTTTGAAACTGGTCTCCCGAAACGTGATTGCGGTCAAGAAATTGGCTAATGAATTGGCGCCCCATCATTATTGGCTAAGAAAAATAATACACATACATAGGAAGGTGTTAACAATAAGAAAAAATTCTAGAATAAAAAAAAAAGAAGCTGGAAATCTGGGATTAAATTGGAAATTAAAATTTGCGATTCCAAATTTTCTCATTCGAAGTTATAATTTAATATTTATTTTTCGCCATTGGAATATATAAATAAAGCATTACATTTCAGAAGTTTTGGACAGACAGACAGACGGACGAACATGAACGGTCGTTCCAGCGAAAAGTCTGGCCTATTTTCTTTTGAAAAAAAAAAAAGCTCCGTTACGACGGGAGGAACGTGCCTTTCCACGCAGAATCGGTCACATCTGTCGGCGGAAAGGCATTTCAGAGGCATTTGAATGTTTCTATTTCAATTTTGTTTCTATTTCAATTTTGAGGCATTTGAATATTTCTATTTCAATTTTGCACAGCTCGAACACGTTCGAGCGCGACGAGACGCATCGCCCAGTTGCAAATATTTTTGCACAGACGACGGCAACGGGAAGGAAATGGCCTCGGCGGGGAATCCTCCATCCGTCATCTCTTCCCGAGATCCCCTCAGCCGCGGGTGCAATTAACACCTGCAATTTACATTTGCACGTGCATCGGTGGGGTGGATTCCCGCCACCAAAGGGAGTCAAATCGGCCCAACCCATCAGTCGTTTTTCTTCATAAATTCTCCCTTCACCTCCACGATTTTCTTGTATCCTTCCCTCACTTCCCCCCACCTTCCCCCCTCCCCCCATTTGAATGATTTTTAAGCGATGTGAGTCCATTCTTTGATAGTAGCTGGTTTATTGTTTTTTTTTTTTTGGTGAACAAAAAAAAAACAGCGTTTTTTGTGAGTTGTCAATCTGATTGTAGGAAGCCGATTTTTATGAAATTTGGCAGGCGTATAGAATGACTCAATTGGCGCTTGTGTGCCGAATTTCACATCAAAATTCCGAAAACGGTGAGATTTAATTTACTTTTCATCGCTAAAAAAAAGTAAGTGTTTTTTTCTTTCGTTCAACTTAAAATTTCTCGCAACTGACGGAAACGAACAAGCAAACAAACAGAAGAAAAACAAAATGCACAAATGCCAAAAAAAAAACCAAAGCGCTCAATCTGGTTTCGTTGGATTCATTTCAACTGAAAAGGTGCTCAATCCTCTCTTCTGGGACGCCACAAATGAATGTCAATAAATCCTTCCTTTTCATCCCGGGTCTCACGTTCGCATCGCTATTTTCGACAGCACATTTTGTCGTGGGCTATCGGGAAATAATTACGGCTCCTGTGATTTTAAGGCCAGGTGGCTGAAATTCAACCGGAATCGGCCACCTACAACGAGATCGACGGCTCATCAAAAACGACAGCTTTTCTTTTTTGGCCCACCCTGTATATAATGGTTAAACGTCCCGAAAAAAATTGATCCTTTCACTTCCTCCGGCGAAACTCGAGAATCTCGTTTGAGAAAACGGATTTCCGGTCGAGGTGAAGCGACCTTCACCTCCGCGCATCGCTTCAACCATTCCCGGAAGGAAGGGGGGGGGGGGCGGAAGGGAGGGCAGAAGAGGGCGGAAGGGAGGGCGAGTCCAGCTGCTTCCCCTTTCGTCCCCGTTTTTGACAGATCCATCTCGAGTCTCACTTTAAACGAATGAAAGAAATGAGGAATGCGGCATTGTCCTCCCGCCTTTGTGGTTTATCGCCTGGGCCGAGCGAAAGAAAGGGAAAGTGCGGGGGGTCAAAAGGCGCTTATCGCGACGATCGCTCCCCGCGAGGCGCTATCGCGAGACGAATCCTCGTCGGAAAGGGGTCGCCTGGATCCAAGTGGCACCTCCGTGAAGGGTCCCCTGGATCCTGTGGCACCCCGGTAAAGGGTCGCCTGGATCCCGCGGCAGGTGCAGTTCGCAGCTGCAGCGAGAGAGAGAGAGAGAGAGACGTTTTTCAACTCACTCGACCGGAATGAAGACGGACGGGACCATTTCCAGTCCCTCCCTAATTATCCCCTCTGGCTGTTGTGATCACTCTGGGGGCAACGATGAACACTGCAGGGCCGATGATGAGCACAGCAAGGCCAATCATCTAATATCGTCATTTTGGATCCGGTACGTTGCATGTCCTCTCTCCGCTCGGGTGATTGTTTTCTGTTTCACCCACTTTCCCTGTTGGCGGAACGCAAACACGACGGCGACTTTCGAGCATGAAAACCGGCTTCGAAGCACGAAGGTCGGCTTCGAAGCACAATGCACAGAGCAGCTGGTGCCCGCCCGTGTTTTGCATGGGAGAGATTTCGGCACGTTCACCGGGGGCCACGTGCCACCGGGCGAGAGAATTCCGCGAGAAAAAAATGGAGCGGCGAAGGACAATGCTCGCCGGGAACAATAGCGACAATGGGTTTCCGAAGGGGGGCGCAAAACAGCTGATCCAGGGGAAACATCCCAAGACGGGATAATGGGGACGCAAGCAAGCGAGCCGGAGCAGGTGGGAACTTGCCAAAACCTAGGGAAAAAGTCTCTCTCACCTGCTCCCCCCCGATTGGTCGAGACCGAGCGGCACTCGTCCCCGTTGGCGGAGACCGAGCAGCGCTCTCTCGCCATTGGCGGAAGGCGACACGTGCCAGGGTGCCCGCTCGCCTCGATCACGACGTCGCAAGTGGCTGCCGGTTCCTCGTCAGTCTCGTGCGTGCATTCGTTTCGGATCGACATAGAGCCTCCGTCCTCGTTCGATTCGCGATTTCGAGTGTCTCGCGAGCGTCACGATGCCTGCGGGGCTCGTCTACAACCTTTCCAGGTGAGAACGAGGAACCTTTCTCTTTTGCATACTCGATTTTAAGGATTAATGAAGGAACCAGGTACAAAAACGGATCTTTCTCACGGATTCCGATACGTGCAACCCAGATCCCTTTCTCCACCCGCATGGGAAATGCGAGGGCTTAACGACCACGCGAGGCCCATGCGAATACGTGTCGACCCGAACCCTTTCTCATCGTAATTTTGGCCGAAAATTTCCCCCCCGAGAGCGGAAGTGCACTTCGAGGTCCATCCGACTCGTTTCTCTTCTGCTCGAAAACGGCCATTGCAGGTCGACGCGAAAGACGAAGTGCGAGAGAGCCGACCGACGAGTAAATGCCCCCATTAAGGTCGAGCAGATTCGCGGGGTGGAAAAAGGGTGAGTCGCACCCGAGAGGATGAGCATGTATGGGAATCTTCATCGTTGGAGAACGGCACGTTTCACGATCCCGGAATATAAAGAAAAGAGCTTATAACTCGTGGAAGCATGCAAAAATCTCTGAATGACCCCCTTCCCTTCTCCCCCCCCCCCATCCCTCATTGCCCCCCTCCCGTCGTTTGACAAATTCTTCGTGGACACTCGTGGGAAGCGAACGGTGCCGTACGCCTCGCCGGGAGAAAGCCGCCCCGCCGCTAACGGGGCTTCACGGACCCGCGAACCGGTGGACCTCCTCACCGGTGGACCCCTCCGACCGGTGGACCCACGAACCGTGCCATCGTCTCGCAAACCCGTGCAAATACTTGCAAAAAGTCCGGGCGCCGCTCCGGCCGTCCGCCCGTGAGAAAAGCCGCCCGGCCCCCTTTAGAGGAAGCGGTTGATGGGGATCTTCCTGCAAGGCCTCATCGGTTTCCATGGGAAGAGAAAAAGTAATCCCCCTCATTTTCTTCTCACTCTGAGAAAAAGGAGAAAAAAAAAAAGAGAGCGTCTCTATCAGGACTGTGAAAAGACTTCCGTTCGGAGGCCTGCGTAGAAGGCCTGCAAAGAAGGCCCGAGCCATCTGGACCTTCCAGATCGTTTTCGGCGATACGAACGGAATGTCCCGACGGGACTCGTTTCCGTTTTCCCTTCATTATATTTGCCTCCTCGGAATCCTTCCGTAATGAGTCCTTCCGTAACGAGTCCTTCCGCGATAAGGCGAACAATACGTACCGCTGCATTCCATCCAGGGTCGCCCGAAAAGGACGCAGATCGATTCGCGGATAAAACGAGGGCGTTCACCCGCGAAAAACGTTCAAGGCCGGGACTGCAAAAACCTCCGACCGTCGATTCTGCTCGCTTCGCGGTGGAGCCCTGGAAAGCGGAGATTACGGGAGGGAAGATTCCCATGCGGCCACTCCCCAGCTGTTGGTCTTTCCCATCCACCCCCGTCGGCTCACCCAGTGAGAAAAAAAGAAGATGGGGTAGATCGCGACGCCAGGGAAGCGTCACCTCATCACCGTTCCGCCAGAGATGACGAATGCGCTCGCTCTGAATCCCACGAACACGTGAAAGTCCGCTTTCCCTTTCCGTCCTCCCGCCTCACCTCCATCTCCCCGTCCTCCCGCCTCGCCGTTTCTCCCCGTCCTCCTGCCTCTCGGAGACCCAGCGAGACCCTCTAGGAGAGCCACGCCCGCCTCCGACCAGTTCTCGCCGATCCACATGGGCGCGCCCGCGTTACCGAACCATCAATTAATCAGAGCGAATTCCACGTTCCTGTTTGCTTTCACGACGCGTGAATGACGACACATCTCTCTTTCTCTCCAGGGAGGACATATTCCGCTGCGAGTCCCCGGACGACCACGATTACGAAGAGGTGAGTGCGCCGGCCCCCCCCCCCCCCCCCCCCACTATTTTTTCCGTGAGAATCACCGTGAAAATGACCGCGATGATGATGGCGCTCGGGCCCGAGGCCGTCACGTCCCTGCCTTTCTCTCGTGCTTTACTTAACTTCACCCCCCTTGCATGATGTTTCCGTGCCCCGACCCAAGCCTATAATTTTTTTCGTACGACCCCGTTTCGCATCGATTTCAGTCCTCTTTTTTTGTCTTGGAGCACAACCACGCATAAGAAGTAGGAGTCGATGTAAAAGTTCGTCGAGGTGGAAGGCCCGTCTTAAATGCACGACAAATGTCATCGTGACCGTGCAGGCATTCCTGCACGGGTTTCAAGAGTAAAAAAAAAGAAAAAAAGATCATACGATTAGCTTGCCACAGTGCCTGTCGCTGCCTTCATTATTTGATATTCCTCGGCTCACCCATAGAGCCTATGAAAACGGAACACAATAGCGCTTCACCGGTTTCCATATAATAAAAATGGATATAAAAGGTTGAGTATTTTGGTATCAGATTCTTAAGGATATGAAGAAAAAAAAGTCTTTTGTCCCTCGCGATACACCGACCCGTATCGACACCTTCAATCTCACCATTATCGTCCCTTCTGCTTCCGACTCGTATTTCCCCCGATATTTAAAAGGTGAACCAGATAACGACTAACGGTGTACAAAAAAAATGTGTGACGGCAGGTGTGTCTCGAGCCGAGTCCGTCGTCGGGCGGATACAGCAGCCTGGGCAGCGGAGGCGAGAAGAAGGAGAACGGGAAGGCACCCGACCTCATCCCGCATCCGATCAATACGCAGGACATCCTCAAGTCGGTGGTCAATTGCATCCACAAGAAGCACGGGTGCGCGTGGAAGGATCAGCTGAGGAGGCTCAAGGTATGGAAGAGGAGAAGGGAGGGAGGAGGACGGGGGGTGAGGAGGAGGCTTCTTTGGGGGTAATTATCTGCGTCCGGTCCGGCCGATCGTGATGATTACGCTTCATGCTTGGCTTATTTCGGGGTCCCTCTTTCTCACCTGCTTCCTCCTGCGCCCTGTGAAAATTGTGTAAAAAGTGCAATAATTCCTGCGATGTCGGGATGATACGGACCGAGAGTTGGGAACCACGTGCCTAATAAAAATAAAAAAATAGAAAAGGATAATGGGGGGGGGGGGGGGGGGGGGGGAGATGGGGAAAATATGTTTCATTTCCAAGAAGGAAATGCCAAGGATAGATTTTTCCCTGTTGTCGGCGACATCCTCATTGGCTCTCGTATTTGCTCGTCGAGCAGACGTTCCGCATCCGCAGGGGGGGGGGAAGGGAGAATGGATTCGGCAGCTGTCTCCATGCATTCTTTGCGTAATGCATCTAAAGCCATCTGGGCACACACGCAAAAAACAACACCTGCCGCCCCGTTCGGGGGCAGCCGCAGCTTCCTCCGCATTGTTGATTTTTTTTTTTTCCTGCAGGGTCACTTAGTGACGTGCAAATACGAGGCGGAACCGTGCCGCTTGAAGTGCGGGGCGAAGATCCCGAACCTCATGATGGAAGACCACGTGAGAAGCACGTGTCCGAACCGACCCGTCGCCTGCCCGCATTGTGGCACTGACGTTCCAGTCGCCGAGCATCAGGTGAGGTCATCCTGACTTTTTAAATTTACCATTTATTATATACATGTATATATATATTTTTTCATTTTTTTATGTAAAGTTTTATTTTTTACTGCTGTAATTTATTGTTTTATTTCATTTATTTATGTTACTTATTATAATATTTCATTTATTAATATAATTTATTATAGTACTGTATTTTTTTTGTACTGTCGACGTCTCTTTGTACTCGCGAGAGGGGGGGGGGAGGGGAAAGACGATATTATTGGGCATTCGGAATTCATTGGGGGGGGGGGGGGGGGGGGGGGGGGGCACGTCTCACTTAGATCTCTTCCGTGTAAACATGCCATCTGTCGAAGGAGCGTGACGCGATTTCGAAAGGGTATCCGGCAATCACTTTTCCCCGTTGGTTTCTTTTTTGTTAATTTTTACGATCGGTCGGGGGATCCCGTGTAATGAGGGTGTCGGGGTCGCGACCCCGCGTCTCACCTTGCCCGAGGGGCGATCGGCAGGTCCTCTGAGCCTTGATTATGGGACGCTCCGCGGCCGTACATCATCGTCGTAATTGCACCTGGTATTACGTCCGTCGCGGCACGGATGCGGGATCCGCGACCTCGCTCTTCGTCGCGGGTCGTCGTTCGATCGGTGACGATCGGAAGCACGTGTGCGAACGATTCAAAATCTGGATCCACTTGGAGCCCCAGAACTGAACAAAGCAAGATGGGAGCGAAAAGGAAGGAAAAGAGGAAAGGAAACGTCTTTGTGAGTGCGACACGTGGGCGTCACATGGCCTTCCTGTTTGGCGACCCGCGAGAACGTTCGACACCGAGGAAACATCTGTCGGAGGGGGAAGGGGAAGGGGGGACGGAGACACGGGATCCGGCAACCGTGGGTCCTCGCTCGGCTTCGGGGAGGAGGTCGTGAGAAGGGGGGAGCCAATTAGAGCCGAGATATAGAAGGACCGCTGAGTGCGTTCGCGTTCACTCCCGAGTCGGCCCGCATCGGAGTCGTGCGCGCTGTGGGACGCACGATGAGGACCTACGAGATCAACGCCCCGCTGCCTCCTTCGTCTTCGACGGTGAGGGTGAGACGAGGAACGACCTGGGTTTCGTGGGGGGTGTCGTTTTGCGGGGGTGGGGGGTCGTTTCGCGAGTTGGTTTACGTTTCGAGTGACTTTTTTTGCGATCGTCTCCGGTGGTTCTTTGACACCTCTCGGTCTGTGCGGTCGTGAAGGGTGGGGAACGTTCAGATTTCCTGAATTTCTGAATTTCTAACTGCCTCCTTCCATTTGGAAGGAGGGAGGCAGAAATTCAGTCGCTTGGTCGCCTCGCCGACGAGGGAACTCCCGGGTTCCCTCGAATAGACCAGGATTCCCGTTACGATTTCCGGAAGCTTATGAGTGTTGAAAGTTGAACAATTCGAGAAGAAACTATAGAATTTAGAACTCTCGGTAGATTTAGAACGGTATGCTGCGCGGTTGCATACTTACATCGGGGTGGAATCCAGTACCTTAAGTACCGAACGGGACCGTACGCGAGTGGGCGGAGCAAACGACCGTCAGCGTGCCGCACGTGTCTAATGACGACGGTGAAAACGACGTCCTTGTACCACATGAAACGCCCCGAGGCATCTCTCACGAACGACTCTGACGAAACCCGTAAATACCACATTTTTTCTCATTTTTTAATGTATATATTTTCCACTTCCCAGAATCACGCGAGCTCGTGCCCCATGGAAGCGACCTACTGCGAGAACAAGTGCGGGACGAAGGTCCCCCGCCGCGGGATGGGGAAGCACCGCTCTCAGGACTGCCCCAAGCGAGCCGTGCCCTGCCCCCACTGCCACGCCCAAGTCGTCTACGACACCTTCCAATCCCACCAGGGCAAGTGCGCCAAGGTGCCGCTGGCGTGCCCCAACGGGTGCGGGGGGACGGGGATCCCGAGGGAGGACATGGACCGGCATCTGGGGAGCAAGTGTCCCAATTCGCCTTCGCTCTGCCTCTTCAAGGATGCCGGATGTCGGTTTAAGGTCCGCCCCAAGATTCGTGCTTTATTTTCATTTTATTTCATTTATATTTTATTTTCATCATTTTAGTTTTTCTAATTGAAAATTTTAGCCTTTTTTAATGTATATATTTTCCTTTTTTTTCTTTAAATTAAACTATTATATTACCAATTTTTAATTTAAATCGTAATTAAATTAAATTTTTTGGATTTGGTGGTACACGTCTGTCGGTTGCAGGGTGCTCGAATGACCGTGGAGGAACACGAGGAGCTGTGCTATCGAGATCACCTGACACTCTTGATGGGGCTCGTGGTGAAGCAGGGGCAGCAGATCCACGCACTCACGAACGCCCTCAGACATCTCTCCACCAATCACACCGGTATGCATTGTAATCATCGTGTCTTCCTCGATCATCGCGTCCATTCGGCTTTCATCGGAGCCCAGGCTTAATTTGGGGGGCGGCTTCGGGTGGGGGGTGGGGGAGCGGAAAGACGATATTATTGGGCATTCGGAATTCATTTTCCCTTCCATTTGCCCCACGGAACAATAGGCAGTAGACGTTTCCTGTTTGGAGAATGATGTAATTGATGCTAATGAGAGGTTCTCGGCCGAGGCTGAGAACCTCTCATCATTTGCATACTGAGGCTATTTTTATCCGGTAAAAGAAAGAGTAAATAATTGGATGATAAAAAGATAATGATGGGTCTCAGGAAACCTGATGTGGAAGATCACGGAGGTGTCGTCGAAGATGAAGGAAGCGCGGAGCAAATCCGGCCTGGAACTGTGCAGCGCGCCGTTCTACACGAGTCCGTTCGGTTACAAGCTGTCGGCGTCGGTGTTCCTGAACGGGAACGGGGCGGGGGAGGGGGGGTACGTCTCGGTGTACATCAAGATCCTGCCGGGGGACTACGACAATCTCCTGCGATGGCCGTTCTCGCACACGGTCGCGTTCACGCTCTACGACCAGGACCCGGCGCCGGAGCGGGCGTGCAACGTCGTCGAGAGCTTCGTGCCGGACCCGAGCTGGAAGAACTTCCAAGCCCCGAGCAAGGACACGGACTCCCTCGGCTTCGGGTTCCCCAAGTTCGTCCCGCACGAGGCGCTGCACAAGAGGAATTACATCAAGGATGACACGATCTTCGTCAGGGTCAAGGTGGAGCCGGCGAAGGTCATCGCCGTCTGAGTCTTTTTCTCTCTTTTTCTTTTTTCTTCCGTATTTATGCACTTCGAAACGAGAGGTGGATATTGCCTTTCTCGACAGCTCCAGCCAAAAATCGTTCGCCTTTTTTGTCTTCGTCGCAGTCTAGTCACTCCGTGTACTATAATCTGCCTATGCGAAAAAGGGAAAATTTTCAAGTGTCTTTCAAGTTTGCTCTGCTCGTTTTCTTTTTTTTATGAAGTGATTTTTATGTACAGTCCAGAAAGAAGATAATAAAAGTCGAAAAGAAAGATTGCCACTCGACCATTCATTCCAGGATTTTCAGGGTGGAATCAGCGTCGAATCACCCTGCAATCCACGTTGACTCAACGTCGATTCGACGGAACGTGTCATTCGTTCTGCTCGGTTCCACCGACGTAGAATGGGGCCGAGCTTCCTTATATGCCCGAGAGAGAGAGAGAGAGAGAGAGAGAAAATCTCTCTAGTGGCGTTTTCATCACCTCGAAGCGAAACGTCCTTTCTGGACCGTATCGTACCGGAGTGTGACGGGTGAGAGTCGAAGCCATAGGGCACAGCGGAGCCAAAGGTCACGGCGGAGCCACTGGGCACAGCGGAGCCAAAGGGCACGGTGATGAGAACCGCCGGACCCAAGCAGGAAGAGACCACAAACACGTTTTTCCGCATCATCAGAGACGAAATTCGTGTCGAAATGGATGTTCGAGCCGGCACGCGTCGCCGTCCGGGCGGGATCGAGTTCGTCATTCTGCGTTACGTTACGTTACCTTGCTTTTTTAACGACTGAAGTCGCAGAGGACGACTTTCGAGGACGAAAGCGAAAGGAAAGCCGTCCTCCAGCTCAAAATATAGGCAATTTCCCGCGTCCCGTAACGAAGCACGAACGAGAGGGAAAGGTTACCGTTCGGTTATGGCTCGGTTACCCGTTTTTGAGGACGGCGAATTCTCGACTTTTCGTCTCGAAATCGAAATGTCAAATTTAACCTTTTCGGTCCCAAATTTTAATGTATAAATGATGCAAAAACAAAATGTCCTCATTGAACCGTCAACGACGAAGCGCCATCGACCAGTGAAAATTCAAATTCCAAAAGAGGTCACGATGATTCAAGGTCGCCCCTCTTTATCTGCTGCGATTTAATCGGGTCGGAAATTTGTAGAGCAAATTAGGGCGGCCGAGTCACAGAGAATGCGGCAAGTGAATTTGACGAGTGGGGCGGGGCGGGGCAGGCCTAAAAGCAAACACACGTGCATTTCTTTATCGTCATTTCCTGTTTTTTTTTTTTTGGCGGGACATTTCGCGCGGTCTGCGGGACGGTCGGTGAAAAGCGCAAAAGCGCAGTATCGCCGCGAAACTCTTTCCGACTCTCGACGCGAAGAACCGTGGGACGCGGATTCAGGCTCACGCCATCTCGCGACGAACTCGACGGGCCTCACGGTCATGCAAGCGGGATGAAATAAACATTATTATTATCTCGTTCGTTCGAAGCGCCTTTAGCCTCAGCCGAGTGAATCGTAACCGCAGACGACAGCGGGCAACGGTCGCGAATTTCCTCGATGCCTTTTAAAACCGTCGGTGACGTGACCCGTTCGCGTGATACGTGACGCGACTCGTCCACTCTCTCGCGGACAGCCGAGATTCCCCGCGGCGAATCGCCTCGGGAGAAACAGCCCCGCGGCGACGAATCCAAGGCGATTTCCCGCGAAAAGTATGCGGGACGCTTGGAAACGAAGTCCTCGAGGCATTTCGCGGCGGCAGGGCCGGATTAAGGGGGGTGGGGGGGGGCAAAGGAGGCTGTTACCCCCCCCCGAAGTAAATTAAAAGCGTTAAATATTTGTGTAAGTACCGAGGGGGGGGGGGGGGAGCATCAAGAATCCACTTGCCCCGGGTCCCCCAACTTCTTAATCCGGCCCTGCGCGGCGGACACGATCGAACGGCACCAGAACCGGCGAGTCGTGATTAGAGGTGTGCCGTCAGGGAACGGGCGCCCGTGCAGGTCTCTAAACCGCGGCAAGTCTAGGCACGAAAGTTCCTGCTTGTTTTCGACGCTGTTCTGGTGGGTAAATTCTTCTTCGAGTCCATTTTTTTGTTTTCGTTTTCGTTTTCTGGTCCCGCGTTCCATCATTTCTTACAGCACTTTCGATCCGACGAACGTAAATTTCCTTCCTTTGACATTTTTAAAATATTGAAATCATTTAACGAAAAACATGGAGAACTCATACTTCAATTTCCAGTAAAGTGCAAGTCTCTATTATTTTGTGCTTCTAAGTTATGAATTTGTCGGTAGACCTCAAAAAACCCGAGTCGCATACGTGCAAAGTGATAACCGTGTTATTAATTTGTAATTTTGCCAAGCGGCAGAAGTTTGCAAAAGACAGCAACGAAGGGAATAAAGGACTTCTCCGATTCCCTTTTCCGAGTTTTGTCGCGATAGAGCCAGGGTCGACCGGACCCAGCGGCACCTCGAGCGCGTACGACCTTGGCGACGCCGACTCTGTTTTTAGCACGAGCGCGGAAGAAACGAATCCGGCCGATAACGGGATGTTATTTCCCACGTCCTTGTAGGCACAATAATTGCTTTTTTTTTTCCTTCGCATGTCAAAAAATTTCTCCGTACGTAAATGCAATAATTGCGTGGACCCGCGCCCCAAATCCGCCTCTTCGCCGAAAGAAAAGAGTCGAGTGGCGACTTCCTCGACCGAAAAGTCGCTCGTTCACGACCGATTTTCAACGCCATCATCAAGCCAGACCGTACAGCATATAGTACTTGAGTGTCCAATTAGATCCTTCAAGGGCGATTCAAAAAACATCCACGAGGCAGCCGAATGGTTATCTCAACTTGATATCATTCTTTAATTTTTTTTGCCATCCACCAAGGCCATACGAAAGAAGAACGCAATCATCGCCTAGCGTATTCCCGACCTAAAAGAACAATTGACTTTTCATTCCGACCAGAGTTTTCGGCACGGAGAAATACCAATAGGCACGCAGAAATGCCAATCGGCAAGGAGAAATGCCCATCGGCACGGAGAATCGCCCCAGTGGCGAAACCGATTTCATAACGACCCTCGACGGGAATCGCATGAACCGAGAACCCATTTCCCATCCACGCCAATTACGAAACGAGATGAGTAAGTAGATAATGGCAGGGCATGTCACCCTGAGATCCGAGGCGGCGATGCCTTTCTCTTCATTAGGCGAGATCCCACACCCACTAGAGACATCTAGCGGGACGTGAATAAAGTTCGCTCGTTAACTGCGTGCAACTAGTGGCGTGGCTACCGAATGTACAGGCGTTACGACTGCACCGGGGCCCACGGGCCAGCTGGGCCCACACGCCGAACTACGAGGAGGGGAGAAGGCAGGGGAAGAAGGGGGGAGGAGTTAGCTGGGAGCCCCTTGGCATCGGGACGAGGTGAGAGCCAGCAGGCGGAAAGGAAGGTCAAAAGGAATCGAAGGAATTCGACGCGACACTGCACAGAGACATCTCCTAATGAGGAAACGCCGCTTCGTGTGGTTTAATGAAGTGGTGGCCACTTTCAATATCATTCACCCAGGGTCAGATCAAGGAGGAGGAGGAGGGGGGGGGAAAGCAAAGGGGGCTGTTGTCCCGGGTCCCACTTTTCCAGGGGGCCATCAAAGGGAATTAAACGTTAAGTATTTACGTCAAGTAGCAGGGAGTGGGGGACGAAGAATTCACTTGCTCCTGGCCTCGCAACCTCTTGATCCGGCCCTGCATTCATCCTTTCACTAGTGGCGGAACTAGAAGAGAGGGGGGGGGGGGGGGGGGGGGAACTAGGAAACAGGCCTCCCCCTACGAAAAATTTCCGCCACTGCCTTCCACACTGACGACAATTTATACGCTGCCAGAGAAAACTAGCAAAAAAATATGACTCCCACATAATTCAATAGTTAGAAATTGGAGACCGGGCCTCGTTTCATTCCTCGCACCAGGACCCATGCCAACCACGCTACGCCATTGGAAGCAACGAAATTTGGCACAATGGATTCAGGAACGGTGCGAATCGGGTAGCAGATACAAATTCCAAGGTATTCGCTGGTAAAGCCTCTTTCCATTTTTTTTTGTACTTTTGTCCAGAGTCACGAGCAGTGCGGGCGCGGTCATCGACGTAGCAATTGGATTCATTTTGGACGGAGGACTCTCGTAAACACGCAAATTCCACAACCGGCCCACAATCGAGGAATCGAGATGGCTGGGTGCCGTCGCCTGCCCTCATCGCTTAATCTGCTCTTATTGCTTACAGAATATCATCTACAGAAAGGAGAAGTTATTTCACCCGGTGACTTCAGCCAGTTACTTGCTTTTTTTTTATTATAAAAATACTCCATTTTGAGGATTGCGTGAAATGCCACGGATCCGAATCCCACTTCGCAACAGATGACGCTTGCCATTTCACCCATGCTTTTCTGGATTAGGATACTGAATCCCATTAGATCAAAAACGATTTAGATTCCATTCGCGGTTCGGTGCTTCCGTGTGAAACGGTACGACGAAAGAGAGTCGGATGGAAAAGTTATCACATTTACTGCCTCTTGGATACGAGATGCAAAAACAAGAAAAAGCACAGGATTTTCTTCCTTTTGATCCCCGCAGATCCGTACCGTTCGGTACTCACTGGTCCGATCCATTCATGACGGTCCAGTACGTGGAGTACTGGAGATGCAGGCTCATCTGCTGCACCTGCTGGAGCCACTGGCGGTAGAAGGCGTCCCAATGTATACCGGGATTGTCGTGGGTGCCGCTCTCTTCCTCGGAGTCGGTGTCGGTGTCGGACGGTATCGAGTCGTCCGGCGACCCGGCCGACTCGGTCTCGGCGTCGGAGACGTCTTCGTCGTCGGCGAAGGGCCACTCGGCGGCGAGGCCGTCGTCGGAGTCCGACTCCGCCCGTGCTTCGACTCGGGCGTCGTCGGCCGACATTCGGTCGTCTCCGACAGGTTCCGCGGGTGCTTCGTCTCGGTCGTCGTCTTCGTCGGAGGGGAAGAGCCATTCGTCGGACGCATCCGCTGCGCCTTCTGCCGCGGCGACGTCGGTTTCACCTTCGGCTTCCTCGTTCTCTTCTTCGTCGACTGTCAACAGAGGGAGAACGTGCTCTCTCTGGAAGCTCTTAGTCCCCGTGTCTTTCCTCACGACCTCCACTTCTTCGACTCTCTCTCTCGGTTCGCCTTCGTGCTTCTCGTCTGGAACAGCAGGGGCAAGGGCCAGGGTGTTCGCGTCGGGAGCCTCCACGACTCCAACCCGGAGGCATTCCAGTTCTTCGCGCCGCCTCTCGAGATATTCTTGTACGGTTTCGGCGTCTGCGGGCGCGATCTGCGGCACGGTGAAGAGGCTGTCGACTTCCCCTCCTTCCAGAGCGAGAGATTTGAGACGATCCACCGTTTCTGCATAAGTCATTCGTCGAGAAGAGGCTGTAACCTTGGGAGAAAACGCCTGCATCCACGACGACAACGACGACCCGACTCGAGTCTTCAATTCGTCCGTCGTTTTCTTACCGCTCTCCGGGCACGCATGGTGACGGCTTCGTTCGACAGCGACACTCGTGACCCTCTTGGACTCCTGCAGTTGAGCGGCACGAGGCTTGCCTCTGATATTCCTCTCCTCGGGGTGAGTCTCGCTGGTCTTGGGGGGTTTGGTCGAAGGGCTCTTGAATGCATCGCATCGTGCTTTTCCTCTATCAGACCGCGCATTTTTACTGGCGAATGAATGTTCACCTTGTAGACTCTTGTGAGTGGACTCCATCGCGGGATCTCGATAGGAAAGCCTTCCGTTGGGCAGCTCCTCGCCGTTTGCATCAGCGCCTCCTTCCGCGAGGGGTATATTGGAGTCTTCTCCCCGAGTCGATCGAGATGGTTCCGATTTCACTCCATTTTGGCTCTTGTGTTTAGAAATGGCACCTTGGTGCGGTCCCCTCACTCTTGCATTCATCCCGTCGGCACCATTCTCCGCTTGTAATGGAGGCACTACTTTCAACTCGGCTGTATCCATTTCCCACAGATCTTCCGGAAGAGGCTGAGGCAATTCCTTCACGTAGACCCCGATCTGGGACACGATGGACTGAAGCCGCTTATATTCCTCCCCTGCACTCACAAGGGAGATGGCCAGGCCCAAGGAACCAAACCTACCTACAAAGACAATACAAAAATAAATAAAACAAGGATTAAAAAAAAAAACCAAAGCAGAGCAGCCAGAATCCCAAACCGGCTCGTCCGATGCGATGCATGTACGTTGCAGGATCCTTAGGGAGATCGTAATTGATGACGAGATCGACGTGCTCGGCGTCAACACCTCGGGCCGTGAGATCCGTGGAGAGAAGAAGGCGACATTTAAAGCGCTGGAGCTGGGACAAAGCAACCAGACGTTCTTGCTGCTGCAGTGCTCCTGCGTAATAAACACAATCCATGCTTTTGATGTATGCCTTGTCTGTCTGTGATGCGATTTCCCTTCAAGCAGTAATTTTTGTCACAAAATGGAACATTTTTATTTGCAGCAACAGAGATTAAATAATCTCATCAGCGAACCCAATAACAAGTACAGTATACTGTATAGGAATTAGGATGCCAATCAAGCATCACCCTAGCAGTGGTGGATAAAGCATTTCCTGAAGGTGGGGGAGGCTTGGTTTCAAAATGCAAATTCAATTCATTGTTAGCAATAGAAAGGGGCAGAGTGTGGGTGGGTGCTGAGAAAATACCCAAGTCTTTCACTTTCAGTCACAGCTTATGATCTGCAGCATTAGTATGCCATCAATGGAGACAGGGTTGGCACCGTTTACTTTGCTTCCACAGACTATTTATTACAGCTGCAGATCGCAAGCTGCTCTAGTTCATTTCAATGTTGAGCCCTCCAGCCCCTTCCCCATGCTAAATCCACAACTGCATCCAAGGGAATATGGACCCAGATATTGCTAATAAATCTTTGCACCTTTATGTCATCCCAAATGGTCATATGAAAAGAAAAGACTTAGGTATCTTCATATGTAAAGCAAGGATGCGCAAATTATGAGGCATTTCCTGGAAAATTAACAAATATAATGTAGTTCTTTCTCAAACACTTCTGCAAGTTGTAGCATACCTGATATGAAAGAGGATGGCCATCCATGTGCATTAAGTTCATGGCACAGACTTTCAGCTTTAGTTTGGAGATTGGAGAAGATGAGACACTGGCCAAAAACGACGGATCCAAGGACGTCGAGGAGGGCGACCATCTTCTTCGCCTGGACCTTGAGCGGCATGGGGTGGTCCTCGGTGATGTATGCCAACTGCGTGATCCCAAGAAGGGCAGCAAGCTTGTCTGTCGTGATGTGGATGCGAGTCGGCTGCCTCATGTAAGTTGCCAGGGCATCTTCCACCTCCTCTGGATATGTAGCGCTCATGGCCATCACCTGCAATCATCACCATCATGGACTCACCACTGAGATATCATGATAAAAACTCATTTTCATTATCTTCAGGTTACTTAGGTCCACCAACCTGCTTGGAAGCAGGAAGTCGAGCATAAATGGGATCGATGCTTCTTCTGAAGGAGAGGGCATTCAGAAGAATGTCAGCCTCATCAAGAACCAGGAGCCTGATGTGATCTGTCCTCAGGGCATCGATCTGGATCAGTTGCAGGATCCTCCCTGGTGTGCCTGTTGATGCAGTGACAGTGGAAGATATCTTATCTTATTTATATCTTGAATGTCAGGCACATGATGGAAGTGGATGAACTGGACAAACCAATGGCAATGTGGCACTTTTTGAGCTTGGAGAGATCTTCCTCGACAGGGAGACCGCCAATGAAGGCAAAGGCCTTGAAACCTGGGATGGCATTCCCAACGGCCTGCGTGACCTGAGTCACTTGAACGGCTATCTCCCTTGTGGGCACCAACACCAGGACCTGGGGGCCATTCACATTCATGGACACCCTCTCCAATGCCACTACCACATACACCAGCGTCTTCCCTTTGGAAAATGGTTCACCCAATCAGCCATGGCTACCTTTTCAAATCAATTTTCTCACTGTGCATATTTCTGCCCAAATATGCTGTCCCCTTTCAGCATGGTAAAAGCAGCTGAAAAAGGACATCACTGGACAGAAGAGCACAGTGTGCTTTAAATTGCTTACCTGTGCCAGACTTAGCCTGGACAATGAGATCAAGGCCACAGCGTCCTGAGGGAATGGCCTTCAGCTGAACTGGAGAGGGACGTCGGAATCCAGCCAACTTCAGACCCTTCAACACATCATCTGACAGACCGAGCCCACAAAAATCCACATCTTCATCCAACTCGATGTCCGCTGTTCTCACTCGATCGTCTGTTAACTTATGGGCTGGTTTGTACATTTCAATGAGTGCTGACTTTTAATTAGATGAACCAACAGGAGTGAAGGTACTTGACTGAAGTTCTTCTGCAGGCTGAGGGACAAACAACAAAATATATAATCACTTGAAGATTCTTTTGTTTTTGAAAGTATTTTAAGAAACAAAAGCATAGGTGTCCTCAATCAAACCTTGCTTAGGCGATGCAAATGGTGAAGGGATTCAGTAAGAAGCTGACGAACAGAGTTCAGTTCAAACAGAGTGAGATGATCGAGCTTGGCGTGCTTGGAGCCAGAACGGATGAACGCTTCCACAGAGGCACGCAGCTTGGCTTCTCGAATGTCCCAGATGTCTTTGATGAGCATGCGAACGCCCTCCGAATTGGGGATATCTGATGCAGCTGTACTCAGGAGAAGTTGGGAGACCTGGATGAAGTGGGCATTTGGCATTCGAGTGAAATATGCGCTCTCCTTCTCTGCTTCCTTTGCCTTCAGGAGAATCAGATGGGAATAAATACCAGCAACACTTTCATTCACCACATATGAGGGTCAGAAAGGTAAGTAGAAACCTGCTCAAGAATGTCAGTGGAGAGCCAATCAGGAGGAACGATGCGACACTTGTGTCTCTGACGAAGATTCACAGCAAGCCAGAGTGGAACACGTGTAGGGATTCCTGGTCGAAATGGCCCCACGTCCCCACCAATAAGATGAATCACCCCTTGAGTAAAGTTTGGTACTATCTCTACTTCCTCCTTCTCTGCCAAGAATTCTGTTTCTGCTGCATTCATGGCATTGTCCCCCTTTGTCCCACATCAAATAACTGTGTTTCAAATGCAAGGAAGGTTATAGAGAGCAAAATGAATTATGAATTTAGGCAGAGATATTGGGCATGAGAGCGAGAAGTGCAGAGTTGTAAAGCACCTATTTACAAATGTACTTAAAGAAGTACTACAGATGGTGTGTACAGAGTCCTTCAAAGGTTTTAAATATGTATTATTCCCTGGTAGCAGAGGGTATACTTAAGTAATTGAACATGTAAATTTTTAAACATGAAAACATTTTCTTATAATAATTTGCAGGTTCCTTTGAAGGCATAGTAAGTTAAAAGAGAAAGAAGTGCTGCATGGCTTGTGAATGACAATACTGCATGACCAACCCTTAAAAAAAAAAATATTTTTTTTTATAGGTGCATTCCAATTACCTCCAGAAGCTCTCAGATAGATTTTTGTCGAGGCACATGCACGAGTCCAACAAACTTGGGATATGAAAACTTGTAGTCTAGCTTATGTGAAGCAATTGGGTTGGCCATTATTTTTTTATATAGATTCATGAGTCAGGCTGTAGGAACCAATGCAAAGTACTCAAAGTCTCAATCACTCACTCAAAGTAAAAATCAATGCAAAGTCACTCTTGGTAAACCTGATGTGTCATGAATTATTTGCTGGATCTAAATTTCAACTAATTTAAATCACCAGAAATTGACAAAAGGACTTAATGACTTATAGGGATATGCATGAAAATTATAGCTTTGTGCTGAATCCTGAAACCTCTAACAAGAAATGCTTAACCTCTTCATGGATAGACTTGTCATGGAAGTGATAGTTTTTTGTCCAACAAAAATGATATGGATCATTTAACCTTGTCCCCCTTATTTAGTCAAGATCTGGAAGTTCCTTCACCTTGACAAGTCCTATCCTCTTAGAACCACATGAGGAACTTTATGGCCTCCTTTGCACTCATCTAGCAGTCTAGTCACCAATAACCTGTGGTTATTAGTAATCCTGGGCTTCCAACAAAAGGAGTTGCATAAACAGACTATGAATATCAACTTGAACATGGGACTCTTTTCTATCGACAGCATATCTCACAAGCATCGCCCAATTTATAGAGCCAATACATAGGGTAAGACCATCTAAGTTTGGACAGCATAAAATAAATGATTATACGAGGGGTGCTAAAAAAATTTCTGGGACTGAATTTTTTAATGATGCTGTGGTGTCTCTTTCCAATTACTGATTGTTATGTCCTTCAAACTAGTCCTCTTCAGCATCTACACAAATTTTCAGGTGTTTCTTCAGCTGCTGGAAACATTGTTGACACTCAACATTTGGAATCAACAGCAGTGCTCGCGTTGTGTTTGCAACTTTGCTTTGAATGCCTGAAATCTTCATTTTGGCACACTCTTTAGCTTGGGGGGGGGGGGGAAGAAGAAAATCCTATGAGCTAGGTCTGGTGAGTTGGGTGGTTTACGAAGCACGAGGGATTTCGAGATAGGTCAGAACCACAGAATTTGGAAAATGAAGGAAATTGCAGAGCATTTAAAGCAGCGTTACGAATGTGCCACAAATGCAGCTGGTGATTCCAAAAGATGCATGTCATCAATTATTCTGGCAGCTGAAGAAACGCCTGAAAATTTGTGTAGATGCTGAAGAGGACTAGTTTGAAGGACATAACAATCAGTAATTGGAAAGATGGTCATAAAAAATTCAGTCCTGGAAATTTTTTATCACCCTCATAAAACAAAGCATTTGCAAGGTCACCCTCAGAAACAGTTCTCCCAAGCTGTGAGAAACTGCTTCTGTGGGATGATGCTTGGTTTTTCAACAATGTACATGATAGTGTCTGAACTTAGATGGGTTTTACCCTAACTGGTTCATCTCCAAAGTTGAATCAATGTGGTTATTCCTCAGAGCAGGATTATGAAATCTTTTGTATAATGTGAAAGCAGTGAAGTTGCTTCAAAAACTATTTTCCACAATTGTTCAACTTCCATCAAGGCCTTTAACCCAGGGGTGTCAAACTCAAATCGGTCGGTGGGCTGCACCCATAAAATTTCACTGAAATATGTGCTGACACTCAATCCATGCAGAAAATTTCAAAAGCAGACGGTGGGCTGGATGAACCACCTCTGTGGGCCGGATCCGGCCCACGGGCCGTATGTTTGACACCCCTGCTTTAACCCATTTGCTCTGTACATTTTGAAGAGGTAATAACACTGTGGGTGAATGAAGTCACCTTTTACAGTGAAAGGGTTAAATACTTCTTTAAATGTGCAAACCAAGAATATGTATATTACTGCTCAGTTAACTTTTAAAGAGCATTCACCAAGTAAATACTTTTCCAATTAACTATTACACTACAAATATATTAATTTTTCCCTAAAATTTTTTTTTTGTAGTCCAAAGGACTATTTATATGCAACAGTGAAAATTCTTAATTTTGTTCTTACTACCCTACTCATATTTCCTAGTAATCAAAATGTAACCTTACACTTCAGAATGTTTCTGGGAGTTGAACATTTCAATTAGCCCCATGAGTCTTCATTCAAATTTTCATCAGATAAATTCAACTCAGAGATCTTTTTCCCAAAAGACAAAAGGCTTATGGGAAAATGAACAGGTAAGTCCTGTGATGCAGTTTCATTGAAATACCTTAGTAAAAGGGAAAAACAAAGGAAATCCCATTCTGGAGTTTTCTCCTTCCCATTCTAAATGAAGGGGATGTCTGTGCCCATCAACAATTAGTCCTTCCTTCTTTGATACTGTCAATGACGATATGAACTTTCACATTCAAGAGAAGCTACTGTTGATAGGAAAAATTCCATGCCTTCAGGATAATAAGATCCTTACTCTATGAAAGAGCAGCATGGGGTGATGAAAACTTTTGGTCAATCCTTCAACAACAAAAAGGAGACATAGGAGGCAGTAACTGGGCAAAGATAATGTGCATGGTAAGAGATAGAGAGAATCAGACAATCAAAGAACAGACACCCAATTTTATTACGAACTCATGACCAATATTCCATAAAATTAGAACACCCATGTCATTCTCTCTGTCTACACAAAACAGAAACTGTTTGAAACAGAGAATAACTTTGGAAGAAAGAAAAACAGAAAAGATATATAGCATCTCATTTTTATCTCCTCTGGTCTTCCCAGAGCTACAAGATTTGAGCCTTCTTTGAATATGAAATGCTTTGATTATCTTCTATCGGCAGCTACAAGTGAAATCACAGTGACGTTTGCCTCTCAGAGCACGCCATGATGTTTGAGATATGATTGGCCTCCTCACTTCTATTAAAGCTACTGTATAAGATAAAAAGGCAGCACCCAGATTATGGCCCATTTTCCTTCAAGATGCACAAGTGAATCATGAATATGCAGTAGGAGTTATCCTGATGGAAGCCAATCCATTCCCAAACATGTCTCCCATCTCTCAGCTGACATCAAAGGCACTCTTCTTTCAAGAGAGAAAAAAGCAGGAGCTGATTGTCCACACATGATGGTTCCTGTCAGGAAACACACACACTTGGTGACACACATATAACAAGCAAACCAAAGTTTTGATCTGTGAATCTGTTCATTTAAATCTTGCTCACTTGCCCAATCTAGCTTGAGATCAAACATGAACCTTTGCGTTTAGTAGGAAACAAACATGAGATAGACTCCAGAAATATGGAACTAGTTGCTAATGTACAGCAAAGAAGAAACAAACATGCCAGGTACTACAGCAACAGCAAAGAAAAGGGGGTTTGAAAGTCTTTAAAGCTTCCATCACCTAAAAACTATATGTAGGTGTACTTCTCCAAATCAATGGCACAAAGTGAAAAGTGAGAACTAAGCATGAAAATGCAATAAGAAATGTTGAATAGGAAAGCATTAGCATGGTTGATGAATGCTGGAGCAATAAAATAGCATACTGCATGACCTCAAGAAAATAGGACCATTGGATATGAAGAATTGCATTACACAAAATGGATACAGCAGTCACATAGCACAAAATGATTTGCAAAAGAAGCAATGACAAGAGATTAGGTATGGAACAGAGAATAAACTGATGCATAATAAAGGGTTCTGACAGCAAACCAAGATGTGAAAGCCAATATGAATGCAGAATGCCATAACAACAAAAAATAAACAAGTCAATGCAAACTAAATTTTAATTATCAGTGAAAGATCTTTGAGAAATTTGTTCAAGACACAAAGCTTTTAATAATACTCATTTTGTTCAAAAGGCATCACGCAAAGCAGAACAAATCCTCAGCCTTAGAAAAAGATGAAGAACTAAACCTGGCAAAGAGAAGAAGCCCATAGTCAATGCATTTGTAACTGCAATCCTTCTGAAACCATTAAACAAAAAAAGAGACCAATAAAATGATGCTGCTATTATGCCTACATGGAGGAAGAACAGCTTTTAAGTCTGAAAATGCAAGTACCTATGGCAAGGGAGAATTATTTGTTTTCACATTTTTCTTTTTTTTTTAACAAGTCTCTCAGACTTAATAAAAGAACTATTAAAGTTAAATGTTAAAGTAAATGTTTATAAAGTTATGTTAAAGTACCTTCTCCAGCTCTAACATAAACAGGATTCACTGAATCTGGGAAAATCAACTGGCCATAGCAATTACAAATTGGAAGCACTGAATGAATGGCAAAGGAGATGAAGTCAGAGGTACAGAACATCAGCATTGCTATTGGGTCACTCTCTGTTTCACCCATAGGTGGAGGGTTTTTTCTTGAGTGATGATAGTGATCTAGCACCATGATAAGGAAGCAAGACGAATAACATGAAGCACTGAGACTTAGCACTCGGGCTCATCGAAGGCAAAAAAATCAAATGGCTCTTGGAGGGTCCTACTGAGGAGTGGGTCCCGAGTGTCAGGTTCCTGCAATGCATTCATGGAGCAAGTCATGAGGCCGTGAGGGAAATCAGATGTGTTCATGGCCCATGAGTCGAGCAACTCTCTCAGGTCAATGTCATTCTGCATGACTTCATTCCAGTCCAATGCATCTTCCCGTGTCCCAACCCCATCCACATGTCCTTGAGCTAATACTGGATCCACTGTGTCCATGGCCTGTAGAGGGTCATCACTGTAGGACAGAGGTGTTGGTTGTGGTTCATCACTCTTGAGATCACATATCAACATCTCTATTGCATTCTGGCTCGATCGGTTTGATTCAACCTTCGGGAATGTGGTGATGACTGTTGGAAGTCTTTGACTCACACCTGGCAGTGGTGGGGGGGGAGGAGGTGGAGGTGGAGGCGGAGGAGGTGGGGCAGAGGTCCCATTTGACCCCGTAGGGAACACCAGATCCTGTGTGAGGGATTTGGGAGTGGTAGGAGTAACAGGATCATTGGCTGCACTTGGTGGCAACTCCCCATTTCGAATCAGTATCTCAAGAATATCATCCACAGCCTGAGATTTTACTGATAGTTTCCGTGGTCGAGGTATCGTTGTTGGTTGGATCTGAAGCAGGTCTTCAATTTTAGAAAGGTCATCTGGGACCAACTTCTCAGTTTCCACATATGGAGGTGGTGGGGCTGCCATTTCTTGTTTCAGAGTCTCAAAGTCTGGCAAACTCTTTGTTCGCAAATGATTCACTTGCAGTTGTGCTGGATGTGCAGGTTGAGTTGTTGTAGTGGAGACTTGCACCAGAGGTGCTGTCACTACCTCCTGGGACTGGGTTGTCACAGGTGTCCAATTAACCTGATTGAGGATGACCTGAACTGGCTGATCACCTGACTTCCTTGAGACTGTAGTTGCTGGAATCAAATGCAATCCACTAGGGACAGACATTAATGTTGCAGTGCTTGTGACCATATGATTGTTGGGGCCAATGATACGCACATTAGACTGGCCTTCATCCCAACTCAGCTTCTTTGAAGATCGAGCTTTATTTGTCACCTGGTGTTGTTGCTGTTGCTGCCGCACTTGTTGTTGTAGTAGACGTAATTCCAACTGCTGTTGCTGGAGACTTTGGAGATGCTGCATCTGCTGCAGCTGGACCTGAAGTTGTTGCTGATTCTGTTGATGCTGAATGTGATGCTGGATCAATTCCTCTGCATTTTCATCTTGAGACTTGGGGTCAGGCTGCTGCTCTTCTTTCACACTTAGTAAGCCCTGCTGCTTTTGAATCATCAGGGATTCATCCAACTTTTTCTGAAGTTCTTGGATTTTTTTATACTGCTGCTCGATGATGATTCCCAAGGGAATGTCTTGGACCTGAATTGGAGGTTGAGATACAGGCTGTGAAGACACTCCAACTTGTGTGCCTGCTGGTGCACTGACCAAGAGGGTGTTCTCCAATACTGGTATAGAGATTTTGGGAGAACTCTGGAGGTTGGGGGAACTGTGACGCTTGGGTACAGCGTGAACTTCAATCTCCTTCAGGTCACCAGCTTTGAGAACATTGGGTATTCGAGCTGATGGATGCACAACAGCCACCTGGGGTTTTGGAGGACCTTGAAGAGGAAGAGGAGGAGGAGGAGGTGGTGGGGGGGGAGAGGGTGTATTTCTATTCTTTGCCACCTCATTTGTATCCATCATGCTCACAGATTCTTCACCATCTGTTTCCATTGGAGCCACTGATGAAGGACGACTTGAGGATTCTGTCTTCTTGTCTCCATCAGTATCAGTCACCAACATTGTCTGCTGGTCATTGGAGATCTCCATTTGACCTTGCAGGGTGGTTTCTGCTCTTGGTAATGGGTGAGTAACAGCTATGGCAGGGTTGATGATCACTGGGATGGTGGTAAGGGCAGCAACAGGCTTTTGGATGGAAGAGGAGGAAGGAGCCAGCATTGGCAAGGACCCAGATGCTGCTCCCGTGGTGACATCTGAGTAAGGCTTCAATCGTTCTATCAGCTGGGGCTTGGATCCTGAAACAGGGAGATTCCTCTTCTTCAATTCGGCCTTGAGGTCGCTCACCTTCATGTCCTCCAGCTTAGACATCCCCATTGTTCCAGTGTCACTGGCCTGCTTGCAGATTGTTGTTTTGATGGCTACAATCGGTTGCTTCATATTTCCATTACCACTTCCATCACTTTTGTTTGCTGGAAGGAGGATATGGGGATATTTGTGTTGCCATTCTAATTGCCACTGCAGAAACAGCTGTTGTTGTTGCAGCAATAAGTCATATGATGACTCATTGGATTTGGAGTTTCCACCATTGTTGGCAGACTCCTTTTTTTGGGCACTTGGAGGACCCTTGTATTCGTGAAAGGTGATCTTGCGGGTTTTGGGCTGCATCTTGGCCTTGGACTTCTTTATTGATTTTGCTTTTCCTCCCCCTTCACTTCTGGGAATGGCACCATGAGAATATGTCCTTGAGAGTGCCATGCTGGCTGATGGCAGCCCAGTGCTCCCACCTGATTTTGATTGTATACTTAGCCCAGGCTTACTTTCCAAGAATGTGGCTGACACTCCAGTGAATGTGAAGGTAGGTTCCTTTTTGGTCGGTGAGAGAGATGTGGCTGTTGCTTCACTTGATTGATTCATCAGTACAGGTTTTTCTGGGTCCTGAAGGGGTGACTGTAAGGGTGACATTGCACTCTCACTACTAGAATCCTCCTCAATTGGTACAAACGTCCTCTGAGGATGTTTCTGAACAGTTCCTTCTGATGTCTTCTTGAACTGGAGGAATCCCTCTTTGACAGCCTTTTCCAGCACATCGTCTGTATGTAGAATGTTCCCTTTTATGAGCTCCAAGGGACCCGGACGATGGGATAAATGTTCATTTAAAGAATCTGCCAGCCGTGCTCGTTTCAACTGTAGTTGCTTTTCTACCAAGGATGGATCGATGTTTCCTGTATCACCCAGAATGTTATGCTGGATCAACTCCTGTCGATCGGGGCGACTCTGAATCTTTGCCTTGAGCATGTCCCCGATTTTTGCCCTCTCAAGCTTTTGACGCTGTTCAAAAAATGCTTGAGGCATGTTGGGAGGTGGAATGATGCCTTGCTCGACCAGCTGGTCACGGGGACGTCTTGTCATCAACTTCACCTAAACAAAAGCACCAGAATATTTGCATTTTAAAAAAGTCACCAATAGCTTGCATGAATGTGTGGTTACCACATCTGAATTGACTCAGAAAAGTCACAAACTTTCCTCTCAAGAAGTTAGATTAAATTATGAATTGCTCATGCAGACAAGCATTCTAAGACAAGAAACATAGGCATTAAGTATGCTTACAGTCTGTAGAACAGGGTCATGGCTCACCTGCAGGGATTCCTTGTTTTTGTCCATTTGAAGTTGTAATGGGCTGTCATCCACAATGCATTTTGGAGGTGAGTCAGAAGCTCTTCCTTTGGCATCAATCCTTGTATCTCGACTCTCTCCTTCGGCCATTTCTATCATAGCCTAGCCGTGATGTTGGCCCATGAACCAAGGCCTTTGCCTTGACCAGTTCAGAGTTGATTCGATGTAGCTCAGGAACATCATCACTTTCTGTTACTTTGAAAAAGGCCCAAATTACAATTCTAGGCACTAGGTATAGGCCATGTTTGATGATTCTGCCACATGTGACCTGAAAAGGACAAAAGTTAAAAACTTCAGTCAGTGAGCAAAAGTCTACTGGCTCTACTGGCACTAGTTCCAAATAAACAGGCCAAAGTTAGGACTGCTTTGCCTTTAAGCAGAAGTGGAAAATGTTCCTCTGCTTCTTAGTAACCCTGGTTTGGTTTATCTTCCCAGTTTAGCAGGTGTGTGAAATGACCTGTGTTAGGTGGGCTGAGCAGAGGCAAAATGGGGGTGCTTGACAAAAGATCAATTTTAAGTCACCACTAGACATGAAAATGCCATGTGTAGGCCCCTGGAAGTATCTAATGGGGAGTTCACAGAGGGGCATAGCCCCTTAGAAGCTCTTTGCATTTATTAAAATTGAAGAAATGTCATTTGAAAGGATCTGTCAAGGTCTTTCTGCAGAGGAGCACTTCGATCAATATTTTCATTTTTGGACTGGAATATTGATTTTTTTTTATTTATACTTCAAGCCTCTCCTTTTGTCTATTCAGTTGGTCAATGACTTCTGAAACTGCATGTAACTTCTACTCTAATGCATACTACATTCTTCCCAAGAAATGCCAGTTACTTCTTCTTCCAAAATGGAGATCAAGAGCTTGAACTTGGAGGAAACTAATAAACCCTAAAATCTTTTGGCTTGCCAAAAGGTTTAAGGGATTAATTAGGGCACTTTGTCACTAGACAGCAGCAGATATTCTCTCCTCAGTGACAGGACGCACAAACTGCTACATACCAGGTCTGGCATAGGACCAGGTGTGTGAGATGTGGAATAGACAGAGCAGGATGAGATTGAACCATGCTCCAATTGAGATCAATGTATTCTCTCAACCCTAAGGTCAAATAAGGTCACTTGAAAAAAGGTGCAAAGGGAACAATTACTCTGTCAGTGGAAAGCCAGGTAACTCAAGACTGACTGCAGACTAATTGATTAAAAAGCAAAGGACGGGGTTTCCAAGGTGCAAAACACAATCTAATTCGGGGATCAGTTTCTCTCACACCTCATGAAATATGCAATAAAAATTAAAATCCCTTTTTTATGCCGAAGACAAGGCCACCTCTACTTTAGAGTCAAGCAAATTTCATTGGTGTCCCCACTTCTCACCTTCTATCCTCCTCATTAGGGAGATATCCAACAACTCCAGGATTGAGGGAATACACAATACTGATATCATTTTGCCTATGCACTTAGCATGGGACAAAAAAAAATCTATATCCTCATCCCTCATCTTACCAACATCAGTCATTTGGGAATATCTTCCAGGTTCCAGTCAGGGGCTTGATCTTTTTGCAGGCAGTCATCATTTTTACCTTCTTTCAATCCATTACTATTCCTCATCCCCGGGACTTAAAACCATCTTCCCACACTTTCTTTTCGTATTATTTTATTACTTCCTCCCTCACTTTTTCACTCTCAGTTATTTATTTTTCAACCCTGCTTTGCCTTCCTGATCAGTCGCTACCCTTCCTGGTAACGTGGTTACAGAACTATATCTAATGACCATAAGATTGCTAATTTAATGTGCATGGAAAAATAAATAGGAGCATAGGCCTGTTTCAAATACAAGAATGATAAAGATAGGCAAAATGTTTTGAGTTAGGATTAGCAAATTTAGGTCTGCAGAGAAGCAACCCTGATACACCTTCTTGCCACCTTTCCTGTCATGGGCAAAAATCAAACAATAAAAAATGTGTTTGATTTTGCTATGCCAATTATTACTGCTTACAATGAGAGGGCTTGACATTTCCTATTGCCCACCCAAATGCATGCTTCATTTAACTCAGCTGAGTGCAATTTATATCACCTTTTTGAAAAAGATGTACTAATGCATTACTTTTCTTGTAGAAATGAATATTATCAGTTTCACTTTTTTGCTCTCCCTAGTTCTATCTATATTTTTCATTGATCAATCCTGAGGTTCTCATCACTGAGCATGCATGAATAACCCTTTCATGGTTAAGTCTCAACTATTTGTGTTTGCAATATGGCTGCCTATGAAACTATTAAAGAAGTCAAGCCAATATAGTCTTGTTCCTCTAATCATTTTGTAGTAAAATGAAAAAAAAATTGAAATCCACCCATCCAAAGCTGAGAATTTATTTTTTTCCATATTATGCTGTAAAAACCTGACCTTAAATAAAAAATCTGACCTCAAAAGGGTTAAGAAATAATATTGCATTCTCATGTCTACCCTAAGGATTTCCTAATGGTATGAATGAATCAGATTAACGAGAACCCAGATTGTTTTATGCTTAACTCTAGGTTTCACTTCTTCACTCCCAAATAATCTCTTCAAAATACTTTGCATAATTATATCTCTGTGAAAATGCTCAGAGTATCGGACTTTCAGGGTCCATTGAGTTCAGAATAGTAGTAATAGGGTTTTAAAATTTCACTATTGTCATGGACAATGAAGGCAACTCTTTACACCTCTCCAGTGATACTTCATCCCCTATTTCAAAGTGGAACCTTCATTTTCCAAATGCATTTTCAATTAATAGACCAAAAAGGGACCTACATGCTGTTACCTCAGCGTTGGTTGTGCCATTTTATGAATTTTGGTTGAGTAAGCCAAGGACCCTGCAGGCTATTGCAAATATGCAACCTCTCCAATCCAGGGTTTCAATGGTTGTGACTCAAGAACATTGAGTATAGTTCCTGCTTATAGTTGTGTGTTGTTTTCTGGATCAATCCCTATCTTTTTCAAGTCATGCTGCAAGTAGATAAGATTATCTCTGGTGTGAATTTGTCTATTGATTCCAAAATCTCGAAGGGTTTAAGGGACTGATCCTGTGGGACAATGACTTCACAAATTTTCAATCACATACTGTCCCATTTATGAAGAATCTCTGTTTAGTCTTTGAGAACACCTTTCAGCCACATAAAAATGTATCTACATACTAAAGTTATGTACAGAGAAAATAATAACACTCCTATAGTGGCCACAAGAGGGGGTAGCCAGAATCAATGTGTTCAAAGGGCTTGCTGGCCAAGCTTGACACTTAAATGAAGGTGGATGATTTGCTTCAAGACTTGGCAGCATATAAAATGAGCCTTAGGCCTATAATTTTAGGTATGGATTTCTCACTATTTGTATTAATAGTTGCAGTGTTGACCAACTTTTTGTCAAAAAACAATTCTACCATTTCCAGAAATATACTTTAAGGCCTTGTAAGTCAAGGGAAAGTAAACTCAGCACAATTATCAAAGACAGGTGGCGAAATGCCAAAGACAATGACTTTGTTTACATTGAAATCCTTCAAGAACTTCTTTAACCCTGAGTGTTTTTTATATAAAGGTATGTCCTTCAATTCTATGTGGAGGAGCCTCACATTGATTTTCTTCCAGTATGAAAGGTGAAGGAAATTGACTGTTCAGAGCCTGGGCTGGGTAAGGTTAGAAGAGGCAAGTTTACCTCTGCAATACAGATGGGTGTGACAGCAGTGTCAAGCATGAATGATTTAAGGAACAACAGGCTTATAAATAACAATGATGATTCCAATGGCCACAAGAACTAAGTGGAAGCCAAGTGTAAGGGAGGAGGGAATTCTCATACCCCAGCTACAACTCCACAAACCTGGGGAATGGTAGGGTGGACTGGCTTAGGGCATAGTTTACTCAAAAACAAGCTGAATTAATAAAATTTTACTCAATTATGGCAACATGGGACTATTATAAGTGCGTGCAACTTGCACAAAATGGATATGACTTAACTTAGTGCCTTCATTTGACAGCAGGCCTATAATACTATCATACTACGAGCCTGCGATAACGTTTACGCATACTTTCGCACTGCGCGTACGGCTAGCCTTAAAACAAGGCTTAAGCCGAGATCTACGTTTCAAATAAGAACAGCCACACATTAGGCCTAAGGGTTGTCAACGATGCGTGGGCTTTGCTTATCTATCACTAGCCTATGTTGTGATAGGCTAGCCATAGAATGAAGAATTAAGTAGCCACATGTTCCTTGAAACGGATATGGCCTGCAAGCAATGTGTGAGAGCGGATATCTGATGCATCCCACGATAACTTCAAGACGTCACAAGGACGATCAGATGAAGAAGTCTCGGTTCCACGGAAATAATAATTAAAAAAATGGGAAAAACACCCAGCGAGCGACGAATCGGGTAACGGCGACAGAAGAATGTGAATGGAGGACCGTGGGCGCCCGATTCCCTGGCTGGACGTCTGCTGACATCTACCGGAACGTATCCCTACCCTCTAGTTCCCCGCTCGCTTTTAAGAGTGCACACCTGCTCGAGCTGAAGCTTCAACATCTCGCTCCACAGGGTCTAACGTCTAATTGATCAGGGCCGGCTTAAGAAGTTGCGAGGCCCGGGGCTAGTGGATTCTTGAGGCTAACTCCCTTCCCCCCACCCAGCTACTTGACGCAAATATATAACGTTTTTAATTTCCTTCGGGGGCCCCCTGGTAGTGTGGGGCAACAGCGCCCTTTGCCCCCCCCCCCCTGCTAATGATCCAACTCACGTGATTTGACAAAGGTTAGAATACTAATGAGCTCGTGAAAATATGTGAAAACTATTCCTGATTTGCGAATATAATCAGAAGGAAGGATTCAAAATATACTATTTCAAGAAAAAACAGCACTCTCCTGGAGCTTCAGTGGATACTGCAATCTCTTTCTTCGTTCGTTGTTCGAAATTCCAAGCATTGATCACTACGATTTCCTTATGGTTGGAAGGTTTCCTAGTTCCCCTTGATTTAGAATATAATATGTGACAACACATGAATGAGTTTCAATAGGGCAATCTAGGAAAGATGGAAGATAAAGTCCCATCCACTACCTCTCCACTGTTGTTTTTTTTTTAATAGTGTAATATTTCTCCATAGATGAAAAGGAGGACACATGACAACTTGTACCATTAACAGTTCATTCAAGGAAATCTCAGCATCCAACACAACATAAGCAGAATCACATCGGGAGGTGGGATTCTTATCCAACTAGTGTGAGATTCTTGGTCCATGGTGAGGATAAGAGGCATTTTCAGATAATGCTTTGGAATACCAGCAATCTCACAAATTGTATCCCCAACACCTGTGCTCAAATGTGGCACTGCATCCTCATGATGGCATCCCATCTGTCCAGTAATTATCTGTAGGATAGAGAGAAATATGGAGGTGGGGTGGGGGAGGTGATGACCATTAACTAAACACTGCCAAGCCTTAGTATTGTGACATCTGAAGGTGGAAGAGGGTTAAGAAACCCTTAAGAATGCCATACCCACCTTGAATCTCCTCATCAATGTGGTCCTCAGGAGCGGCATGGGCTTGATCGCTGCCATCATCATCATCATCATCTTCCTCAGGCATTGGATTGGCAGAGAAGTATCGCTCGTGTCGGTCAGGTCTCCGGTGGTCCAGGCTGAGGTCAAGAGCATCGATGAGCAAACCCTTCACATCTGTGCACTTTTGCACAGCTTCTCTGCTGTCCACCAAGGTACCTACATGTGAATTCCTTCCTTTTCCTCTCATTTTATAAGAAACTAAAGAGATAAACAGGTGCTGGCATCACCTCCAATTCGAAGCACAAGTTTGTTACTCAGGCGTTGAGCAAGTGCAGATAGGGATGCATCAATGATGCCATCTCCAATGAGATCGCACCCACTCACATCTAATTCCTCCAGTTCCAAGCAGCTCCTCACAATATCACTCACACCTGAAAGGAGAAGGTAGAGCAAAGTCAGTCGGTGCTCAGTTTCATCCTTGCTTTCCTGCTTAGTCCTAAAGCTGCAGCTTTCACATCTCAGAATCATACTTCAAATTTCATTGTTCATCCAGGTTTTTGCTTTATAGTCATCATAGCTGCTCATCATGACGTTCACAGGAGGGGGGAGAAAAAAAACTAATGGACCTTCGGTGGTGATACGAGGGTTGCCCCGGAGACGAAGACACCTCAATGTCAACAGGGTGGCAAGGCAGGTCAGCCCCACATCTGTCATCCTACCCAAGTATGATGCATCCAATTCTCTCAGAGGCAAGCCAAACAAATTTGACAATCCTACATCCCCAACTTCATTGCATCCTGTTTCCAGAAGGAGATCATGATTTGCAAGCCTCCAGAAAATAAAAGCTAGCAAGAGCCAACAGAAAGAATAGAGGGGAGAGAATAATAAAAGAGCAAAAATGGCTCACCAGAGATGTCAAGGATTTCGAGAGAATCCCTCAAGGGGCCCTCACTAAAGGATTCCAATACGTGAGAATCCACACCAGGCATGTTGCTCAAGATCAACTCCTTCAGTTCAGTTGACAACGGTGACCTGAGAGACAAAGGTCATCAGGAGTCAGGAGGAGAGTTAGTGATATCAAGAGGCGATTTCGCCCATTTCGATATCACGTGTCGAGGTCGAGCGTTCCTTAATATTAGGGTAGGCCTAACCCTCTTAAAGCTATATATTTTTGTATTTTTGTTTTGTTTTGGTTTTGACTATCCTAGTTGCTTACTGTCTAGTACCTACGTCAACATTGCCCCCCACCTTTTTGCCAGTCCATGAAAGCATCTAGTTTCTTCTTAAAGATAGTCACAGAAGGGGCAGCCACTACTTCGTCATCTAACGCATTCCACGCGTTCACCACTCTGCAAGTAAAGAATTCCTGTCTCGACCTGAGCCGCACCTGCGGTTTGCGCAACTTAAGTCGGTTACCTCTCGTTCTCTTGCTGTCATCAAACTGGAAAAACCTACCACA